TTCGGCTAGTAGATTGTTGGAAAATTTCAGTAAATAAAAGAAAAGAAAACATGTCTTTACTTCGTGAAGACAAAATGGCTGCGAAAAAAAAAATAGAGGTTTGCTGTAGCAGAGTTGGTCGCCAAATTTTCGCCAAAAAATCGCCAAGTTACCATAATCCATAGATCAACCAAATTTTTTTTCGACATTTCGAAGTTTAAGCTTGAAATGTCTCCAAACACATGGTTTTTGCACCTGTCTTCAAAACATGGTTTTTGCACGTGCAAAACCATGTTTTGAAGACAGAACTTAAGTTAAAAATCCAAAACAAAAATTTAGATAGCAAAAACGTAAAGGTCCTAAACAAAAATATTTGACAAGAATCCATGTACACAGATAGCGATATGTCTTAACTTCAAAAACGAATTGCACATTCTAGGTAGCAAAGGAATCTATGAACTACGCACACCTCACTTCAGTAAATTAACATAACAATAAATTTCAATGAATACCATGTACACAACATTCTGTTTAAACTTAAAAAACATCTACGAATTGTACAATCTAGGCATTGCACACAAATCAACAAAATAAACTAAACTAAATTACAAATAATTCAAAAAACAACAATAAGAACAGAAATTCATAGTAAAAAAAAAAAAAAATGAACATAACATTATACAAAATAAAATGCACTTACCATAATACATCCTGAATAAAATTCCGCCAGTCACACAAAGTCTCTGAACAAAAGTGCCGTGATTTTGCTATATTACATGTCTTTCTGAGATTCAAAATTTCGAAAGTAACAATAAAAACTTCCTCCAGAGTTAACTTACTACACAAAAACCACGATTTAAATCTTAAACTCCGCTGACAGCCACATTGTTTAGCAGCAACCATTTGACTGCAAATTCACACAAGAACTATCAGAAATGCCCTTCTTTGTCCAAGCATAGCAGCTTTGCATTTCGGACTCTGTTTTAAAAGTCTCACAGAAATTAAAAAAATACAGTTCAGTCCTCATAAACACACCGGTGAACAAAAGCCTCGTTAACAACTCCAACATCGTACCTTTTAATACTAAATTTACTTTCTACACAATCTAAAATACGCAACTGAAATCTTCTCACCACGTCTATCATTGCAACATAGGCCATTTCAAAACACGCACGACACGAACCAACGAGCAATTAAACCACTCCAGCAAAAAATTTTTCAATGTCAACAGGGTTGCCGTACAACATCGTGCCAAAAACCAGTGCAAAACACACGTTGCTACATTTGGTGATATTATGGTGCATATAAGAGTAGAGCCAGTGTCTTGCGTGGTACAGCAAAATCAGTGCCAGACAGTGGCTCAGCTGACAGCCCAGTACAGTGCAGGTACAAGTGCAAGAGTTTCGGAATGCACAGTTCAGCGGACACTGTTGGATATGGCACGGCGCAGCAGATGTGCATCTGTTGACCAAGCGCCATTGTCAACTATGCCTACAGTAGGCCCGGGAACATCGAGACTGGGCCATAGATAAGTGGAAGACAGTTGCTTGGTCAGATGAATGATGATTTCTCATTCATGACCTCGATGGTCATGTCAGGATACGCCATCTTCCAGGCTAACTGTTGCACCCTCCCTTGTACAGCAGGTCATACACAGACTCGCAGTGCTCTATTTTTATTGGAGTGGTTCGAGGAGCATAAGGATGAATCCCATTTAATGTCCTGGCTACCTAACTCGTTGGATCTTAACCCAATAGAGCATATTTCTGATGTCATGAAGCGGCAGCTCAGAGCTCAGACACCATGTCAGAGTATCTCGGTTGCACGACCCTGCTATGACATTTGGTATGATCTGTCTCCAGTCACTTACCAAGAACTTGTGGCATCCATGCCAAGGCGTGTTGCAGGCCAAAGGTCACACATGGCATTATTGAGTAGGTGGTCATGATGTTTTGGCTCTTCAGTGTGTATATATGTATAAAGTACATAATTTTGAGCTTTGAATTTTGGGTTTTATTTTGGATTAATAAGATGCACTGCATTTTTAAGAGTAAAATTTACAACAGTTCTTAAAGTTTATTATACCCCTGTTTAAGAAGATGGTATTAGATTATCTGATCAGCAATTTTAGGTTTAATTAAGTGTCCCATTTGCAATTTCAGGTTTAATTCATTTTGTGGGTTATTGTTTATTTGACTATAAATTGAAATTAATCAGTTTGTGAAAGTTGCTAATGAAATGTAAATTTTGGTATTAATGAATTAGCTGTTAGTAACATTTATCACATTCATTTTAATTATAAAATGAAAGATTTAAATTCACTAAATCCTTTCTAAGATGACACTCTAGTTTCCACATGATTTTGATTTTCTGTGAATGGGGAAATGTGACTATCAGTGCTGGAGATTTATACATAATGGACTTATCCAAATTCAAAGTTATTAGATTCTGTTAAATAAAAATACTTATATAGAAGTGGGATATATTGGTTTGTTAATAATATTTTGTTAACAAAATTATGAATTAATCGCAAACATAAGTTGAGAATAATGTAATAAAAGAAGCAAGGTTTAAGAAAAATTTATCCTGTAAATAATTTTTTGCAGTATTCTTAATGAATAATATTGTAATATTTTATACTGTAGAATTATGAGAAAGGAAAAAAGGAAAATATAATCTATAAAATACTTACATAATAAATTTTGCTTAATAATTTCAAAATCAGTCACTGAACTTAATTAATAAGACCAGTCCGTGGAAATCTACCTGATTTTTTTTTTTTTTTTTGGTTTAGTTGGTCATTTTTTTTAAAGTACTTAATAATATAGTAAATCATTCATCTTCTTAATGTTATCAACATATAGTACTTCGTACTTGCTTTAAATTTCCTTTGTGGTAGACTATAAGCAACACTTCCCAAAGCTTTGAATTGTTCCTAAATTTAATTCTTTTACATTTTGTTATAATCTAAGGTAGTGTTTCTCAATCTGTGGTCCTTGATGCTTGTAGCGTTTGAGGCACCTGTGGTCCCTTCTAGATTTCCAAACAAGACCAAAAATCAAATTAAATTTATTTGTACTATATACCATACTGTAGTTAAAAATCTCCAAGTATGTAAATTGCACATGACAATTGCCTATCACTTTTTTTCCAAGATTATCATTTTTAAAATAAAAATTGACTTGAGTGAAAACAAAGTACTGAAATTGATATATGTGCCAACCTGAGACCTAAGCTTACTAGCATACATTCAAACATAGAACAGCTGTACAAGAATCAGCAGGCTAATTCACATTATGTATCAACATTTATTTTTAATTTTTTGTGAATGAGATAAAGATTATACAAACTATAATAGCTCCAAAATATTGAAAACGAATATACAATTTTTCTGTTAACTTAATTACTTTATACTAATATAATATTAAATGAACTTTAGTAAATTTTGTTTTAAAAACTTAAGTATACTGGTAGTAACATATGCTAAAACAATTGCTTCCGAAGGGGCAAGAGTAGGGTGGTTCACAAAGCATCCTTATCTGTAAAAACAGTCTCCATTTGAAAAGTGTTTGAGAAATGCTGATCTAAGGTAATAATAATCCAAGATTTATGGATTTTCCAAATAAAAAAAATTCACTTGCATGTGTGTGTTGCATATATTCAGAGAGTTGTTAACTTATCCTACATCAGTAATCTCAAAAGCAGAAATGGGCTGCCACTTAAACATTGATTATTTTAAAGAGTAGTCCAACAAAACCTAACCCAAAGCAAGTGAAGAACACATGAACTGTAAAGCGATGCACAGGATAAACCAAACTGGATGTAGAAGACTTCACCTGCTTTTTATTCAGTTTATCTTAAGTCACGGGAAACTCTACTAACTGCACAAACAGGAAATAAAAGAATTAGTGTGAATGATCTAGAACAACATTATTTAATCTGTATTACAAATGAGCATGTAGAACCTGTATTACAAATGAGCATGTAGGAGAAATTATATCATAGTGAGTTAGTTACATGTAAAATTATTGTTTTACAGCTAGGAAATTGTTTTTATTTTTTTTTTGGGGGGGAAGGGGAGGAGGTAGATTGAGACTAATTTTTCAATTTATGTAGCATTTAAAATATGTTTATTTGCTGCTGAAATTGAATAGGTGAATATATTAGATGACCTTTGCTGGATTAGAGAATGATTGTCTTAAAAAAATATAGAGAGAGAGAGAGAAAAAGAATCTTATAGTTATCATTACTAATTTTCATTTAAAATTGGGAATGCTGGTTACTGTTAGAGATGAGTACTATGAAAATAGTTATTATAAAATCATTTGATTGTAAATTGAGGTTATTCAGATTTTGGGGATGCTCAATAATAAATTATTATTGGTGTGAATATTGAAGTGTCTATAGTTGTTAATGACATTTATTACTTTACTGATTACACCAAACATAATTTTTGTGTAATTAATAATTTAATAAATATATGAATTGAATGAAAAATTTATTCAAGATAAGTTTATATAAAATATCTGGGAAGCATATAAATAATCTCTTTTGGTACTTTTCTGTTATGTGCCTGCCATACATTTTGGCAGGGTTTTTTTAATTGCAATTAGTTTACATTTGGCTAATAGTTTACAGAAGATTAATTTACAGATGGCTCTCGCACACTTAATGGTACTTTTTCATTATGAGCACTTATGCAAACTGTACTTTTCCATTATGCACATACATCCCAAAATGTGTGGCAGTTGCATAACAGAAAAGTACCTTCTTTTTAATGAATTGTTATTAATTTTTTAATTATATTAAATAAAAAAAGTGTTTAATCATGTAGCCCATAAGCAAGTATTTTTGATATCTACAGAATATAAAAGAACATTTTTTTTCCCTTTTTATTAAAAAAAGGAAAATTAATATCTAAAAAATGTTTCATAGCATGACATTTTATTTAATGCGCATTTCATGTAGTAGTTTTGAAGTGTATATATAGTTTATTTTAAAACATGTTGTTTTTCATACAGTTTGCAAATACCTTGTAATTGAGCTTGAAAGCCGATTATCTGAGACGGGAAAAACACATGATGTTATTGAAATTGGATATGAATTAGATCCTGCTGCCAGAAAGAAAAAGAAATATGCTCATTCGTAAGAAAGCTTAGTATTTAATAATATTTATGAATACTGTTAAGTTTATGAATAAATTTGGTTTTTAAATTAAATTTAATAATTAAATTTATTTCAATAATGACTTCAGCTAAAATTGATTTTTTTATTTATGTGTTATTTTCTCATATAATTTTTGTGTATGTAATATGCTGGTTTCTTTAAAATTAAATATATTTAATATTCTTGATTTTACTGTACTTTCATGTATCTTGATTTTTATTTTTTTAAAGTATCTTAAGTAATGATTTTTTTCAGTTTTTTTAATTGTAAATGTTTCGTATTTTATACATACTGAAAGAAGGATCAAAGATGTATATTTTGGTATTTAGGGAGCTTCGATTGGTTGAATCTTTAGATGGAATTTGTGAAAGATTGCTTGATTACAATATTCATAAAGAGAGAAAAGATAGCACTAGATTTGCAAAAGGCATGAGCACTACTTTTAAAGTTTTACATGATTTAGTGTAAGTATACAGAATTTTACTAGCATTTTAAGTATGAATCTGTAGTATTTTGTGGTATTTTAAATATGGAACTGCTTAAAATTTTGAGTAGTAATAATTTCTATGCATTTTAATAAACATTTTATTTTACATTATAATGCAATTTTGAACACCTATTTAACCTGTGTGGCGCAACTGCTTTATCCAATATTGAGGTTTTTTTGTCATTTGTTTCATATTTTTTTTTATTAAAATATTGTTCTTATTTTCGTGATTGGGCTACATATTATTTTAATGAATGAAAGTTAATAAAAGCAGAAATGAAACTAATTAATTATACATATTTAATGCAAAAAGTAAGTACACAAAGTATATAAATATTATTTAAATACAGATTATTTCTCATAAACAGATGCAGAAAGCCGTGCCACTCAGTATGTCTGTAAATAAAACAAGGAAACAGATTAACATTCTTGTAAAATATCAATCCTTCAAAAGGGGCAGATGTATCATTGACTGCATCCAGAGCCCTAAATTTAAATTTTTACTATTTTTACAAACATGTATTTTTGTCATTTTCTAATGGTCTTTTTATATGTAATGGGATAAATAATTTAAGAGATAGCTGTAATGGATTGTCAATGATATATCATATTGTAATAACTTGGAGAGATTTTACTGCTTAGTTATCTGAGATGCATAATAAAAAAAGAGTCATGGCTGAGCAAGACAATTTATTTCTCGATAACTACTTTTTAGAGCATGTTTTCTTCTTTACACATCAAAACTATATACAGTCAAAAGTCGTTAATTCGGACACCCATAATTTGGAATGATCTATAATCCGGACATCAAAACTAAAAACTTTCTGCGCATGCGCCGCGTTGACACATGCGCATAGGCGTTTACGCGTGCGCCTAAGACCTTTTACGACTGCACATATCAGTGTGCGCAAGAGCAGAATACGTTTTCGCGTGCGCGTTTTATGTATGATGGACGTATAAGCAAAAATTATCTAATTATCTATTTCAGTTAATGTTGATGATTGCATTGTTCCTTAATCTTCGAATTGGATCCGGCTTATTATTTTTTGCAGACTGTAAGAGCAATTTTATAAAAGTAAGCTTAAACTTTCGATTATATCAAATAGAATTTCCGATATATATTTGTTAATATGTAAAGGATCTAAGCGAAAGTATGTTTTGAAATCCGAAATCGGTTTATCAATTTAACGCTGCTCGGCGGGGGAAACGCTGGCCGCGGCGGGCGGCGTAATGAATTGGAAGTTGATTTGTCAGCACTATCCTTATCTTCAGCGCAGAGTTTTTTTTTATTTGGCTTATAATTCCTTACCAATGTAGTATTTCATCTTGATATGCTCCGTCTTTGATATGATTTAAAACAAGTTCCTGGTCATTATAATTCGCTTCGATAGCGAAAAAAAGTAACAGAGGTTATTGAAACGCGAAAAATTTCGATTGACAAATTAGTCGTGTTCTCTGACACAGCAATTATAGGACTTGAACAGCGGAACTTTGTAACTGACAAGAAATTATGTCTGTTTAATAGAATTAAAGAGAAAGTATTATCACATGAAACGAAAGCACTTACATTGAAAGAAATGTTTAATAAAGTAAACAAATAAATATTAAGCTTTTCTTTTTGAAAATTTTGATACCCTTTAGATCATAATTGTTCTTTATTTCATAAATTACGGTTTCATATTTTTAATTTTAGAATTTCTGCATGCCATCTTACGAGATTTAAACTGATGATCTATAATCCGGAAAAATCGATAATCCGGAATCGCCGAAGTCCCGACGAGTCCGGATTAACGACTTTTGACTGTATACGTTATGCACCACACAATTTTATGCAGCCTTAATTTTCAGAACAATAGACAGTAGCATAGTTGGATGAGATGCATAACAAAGAAAAATATGTCATGGCTAAAGATAAAAAGACACAATTTATTTCTGGATTACTACTTTTTAGAACATATATATATATATATTTTTCTGTACACATCAGAATTAAGGGTATGTTATGCACCCCACAGTTTATACAGCTTACAATTTCAGAACAATGGACAATAACTAGCAGAGGCTAAGCGACATTTCTAAACAGCAGCGAGTGGAGTAGAAAAAAGGGGTATGCATGAGCAGAATGCTAGATATATGGTAAACTATTTCTTTAATCTGATTGGCTAAGAGCCTATGCATTACAGCAGGATTACATAAGCAGCATGAAGTGGATTAATTTTGAAAGATGCAGTCCAGTAAAATTATTATAAACAATTTCTGCTCTTAAAACAGAAAGGGCGAAATAGCTAAATTAAAAAGGGGGAATAGAAATATTGCCAGATTAAAGTTAATAGTTTTCTTTTATATTTTATATCATACACACACACATGTTTAAATATACATATGTGTAGTATTTTAAGTGCATAGACGGCACTGGTACTTTTAGCATTCGACAGTGTTTGAGGGTGAAAGGTAGGATGAGTAAGATAATAAAAAAAAACTGGCTTTTGACGACTCACCAATCTTTATTTTCACAAATATCAAATCATATTGGTAGACATTTATCCAATCATAGTTAAATACAAAAGTTTTATGTACACTGGTTTCAAAAGTACACGTAGGCATCTTAGACAAAAGCAAAGCAGGGGAGATGTTGGCATGGCAGAAACTAGGAAAAGGAATGACATGGTT